CACGGAGACAGGCGGAGACGAGAAATTACTAGTTTTATTTTTTTTAAATGATTTCTTTATATAGAAAGTGTTTAAAATGGGACAAAAACGGGCAAATTATACCGTACACCCGGATGTACGGTCCTCACTGTGTCCGATGATTCAAGCTTCCGTTGCTTCTTTCATGGAGCTGGAGTCCGCTAGCGTGCCTGCCCTGTTCTCCGCTCGAAGGATGGCTTTAAATTGGAGAAAACGGAAAACTTACTCAAATTGGACGAAATCGGTGTCAAAAGCTTTGCCTCAGCAAGATGAGTCCAGAACAACTCTCAGAATTTGATTTAAACATGTCGTTTGGGAGATACGAACAAAAAACCAGACTGCTCTGAACAGTGGTGGACACAACTGCTCTTTGCTAACTCCGGCCAAACAGCACCTCCGGTCATCGGAAAAGGGTTGGGGAGGTGCGCCTAGAGGTGGTGACCCCCACAGCACTCTTTGATTCCAACAACAATCGTCAAATTTTGGATTAAAGACCATAAAATCAAAACTGTGAATAGTAAATTGATGCGCACAAATCTTCAGAAATCCGTCGTTTTCCATCTTAAAAACCCAAATCTTCCAAATCCAATCGGTGGAAAAGAAAGAGGAGGAAAATCCGAGCTAGGAGATACAAGATTTAGGAAGAAAGATCGATCAAAAGAGCCAAAAGAAAATTCGTGTATTCATATGTCATATCAATACACAAATGAAATTTGAACACATATTGAGCACAATAGAAATGAGTTTTATGTTAAATTCAAAAGAGTATAACGTCCAAATTGAATGAGCATACAAAAATGCGTTTTTAAATTTTTTGATACTCATTTCGTAAGTTATGCATGCTCATTTGGTAATAATGGTATAGTCATTTAACAGAAAGCTTGATTTTCATCTCAATAAATGAGATTTGGTGCTCAATGAACATATCGTTATGTTAAACTAACAAATCTTACGATTTTCATATCAATAAACATTTTATAAGTTACGTATACTCATTTGGTACCAATGTTATGCTCATTTTAAAATGTTATATCAATGCATATTTTAAAAGTATCATATTGCATTAAATTCGCATATGGAAATTCACAGGAGTGTATTATAGATATAATTCAATTATTTTTTATAAAAGAAAAAATAAGTAAAAAATTGAATTAGAAGATATGAAGCAAAAATCAGGATACTCATTGTTAGGCTCTAAATACTCAATAAAATAGGTCAGATGCTCACTACATGTACACTGTTGCTCATTTAGCGGAAACCGTGACTTTTCACTTATATTACAAAAATGCCACCGATTTTTTTTTTGTTTGTATTCATTGTTGGGCTGTCTTTCTTATTTGGGCCGGGTGTACATACACCCAGATGCACCATATACGAACCCACTAAAACGTACTGTACTATATTCCCAAATGTGTCATCAAATTTTTTACTCTCTAAATAGGAGTTTCGGCCGGTTGTGATTTCTCTCATCAACATCGCTGCTCTTCGAATTGAAGCCGCTGCTCTCCATATCAGAGGAGTTGCAATTGCTCCACCAATGACAGGTAACCTTCTCTCCTCTTCTTTTTCTTCCTCTTTTCTTTTTTTGTCTTCTCCGTCTCATTCTCTTCGAATTTGGGTTCTCTGTTTTCTTATTCTTTAGATTTAATTTTTATTATTTACTACAAAAATGTCATAAATTACAAGCATTTAGAAAAAAATCACTTTTATGACATTACATTCATCAAGATGACAGTATGTCATGAAACTGACATTGTTACTCAAAAAAACTGACACTTTAAATATGTCATTTTTGTTTCAAAAATGTCATGAAATTGACATTATTACTTTGGATCCCTTTGGAGCCCTAAAAATGGGCTGAAAAGCCTGAAAAATGCAAAAAATAAAGCCAAATACATGGCAAATGGGTTGTTTGAATAATTTGATCATCATCATCATTATCATTATCTCAGTGAGACATATTTGAATAATACTTCAATTACTGTCTGACATTATTGCACGACATTATTGCACGAACGGTACCATATCATTACGCTTCAGTCAACATTAATTCTCTTCTCATCCACTTTAGAAATTTATTTATAGTTCTTTTTTATGTTGTTTAGATTTAATAATTTTAGTATTTTACATCTTATCAAATATATTGCATTTCATGCTAGTGTTACTGCTCTACATTACTGCAATACTAGTCATAATTACTGCACTTTCTGCCAATGTTATTACCCGATCAATTGCCTTTGATTCACTGCACAACACATTTCATCAATGCATTCATTCACTGCTCATGTACAACATTATTTATTGTCGTATTCACTCTCTATATTCAATCACATTGTCATATTCACTGGTCATGCTCACTGTCTATGTTCATTGCTCATGTATAATGTCAACAAATCCTAATTTCAACAAACCCTAATTTCAAAAATAGAATAAAAGAAGAATAAAAATGGAGGCGGTGGCTGAGCAGTGGTGGCGCCAAAGCATGGGGACGGTCGTGGCTGTAATACTTGAGATTGATTTGAAAAGGATTAATAGTACTACTCATACTAACAAGATGCATTTCCTTTTAAGGAAGCCCATCACCTAAGAACTCCAAGTTAAGCATGCTTGCTCTGTAGTAGTCTTGAGATGGGTGACCTCATGAGAAGTTTATCAGGGCGCGCATGAGTGAGGACAAAGTGCACGTTAAACGCTTGTGGTGGTTTGTGAGGACACAATACTAGAAGTCTAGAGTATCTACCTCGGGTCCTGCGGGGCCGGAGTGTTACAGTGACGCCGTGACATAGAGACCGCAACAGCAAGTGGACGTGAAGACGCATGCGGCTGCGGTAGGTGCGAAGGCATGGGGCAGGTCGCGACGCAGCGGCATGGTGATGGCCGCAGCATGGGGACAACCTCGACGCAGCGGCATGGCAATAGTCGCGATGCTGCGACATGGAGACTATTGCGGTGAGCAGACGTAAAGACGGCTCCGGTTGCGGGTAGGAGCAAGCATGTGGATGGCCGCGGTGCATGGGGATGGCCACGGCGACGGTGGTGCAGATGTCGCGGCGATGGTGGCAGCAAGTGCCGCCCCGACGGTCTGCAGATGTCGCGGTGACTAGCCTGGCAGGCATGTGTCGCGATTACAGGGCCACAATTAGTAGGATGTTAGAGTTTTATAATAATTATTTATTAGTCCATAAAATTATTTATTAATTATTGCAAATTTAAGTATTATTTTGGGGGGAAATTAATAAGGTCATATTTTGAGAAAGTGAATGTGTTTTAGTCATATATCTAGGGTAATTTTTTCAAATTTGATTGATAACTTGTAAATTAATATTTGATAAAATGTGAAAAATGCTTAAATGTGAACCTTGAAAATAAGCATTTCACATGCATGTTTTAAATAGACTAGTAAACTCACTCGTGCGGTGCACGATCGGAGAATTTTTCTTTCAAATTTATTTGTGCTCACTGATTCAAATTACACTATCAATTGATCATAGCAGCTATCTTCATGGAATACTGATATAGATCAAAGCAATGAACGAAACACACTTATAATATTACGGTTAAAAAGACAACACTAACCATTACTTAAAAGATAAAAAACATCCAACAAATACGTAGAAACCATAACATTGCAAATATGCATTTCATGTAAACCGTAAACATTGTTGAAAACTTCTTTGAATACAACATTCTGAGTCTTGTCGGTGGTTCCTTCATCTTCATCAACAATTATAATTTTCAAACCACAACGATTGGTAACCCTTGATACTGCAACATACAACTGTCTAGTATAACACCCGTGCAATGCACGGTCGATGATATTCCCAAACAAAATCGATCAAAAAAATAATTATATCAACTTATTATATATATATGTATATGTGTATATATATATATATATATATATATATATATATATATTGAGTGGATTGAGATGTGATATTGGTTCAAACCCTAATTCATAAGATATATTTTAAGTATTGTGTTTCCATAATTCGACAGTTTCAACCAATTCACACCAATTCAACCGTTTCAGCCATAATTTCATCAGATTAGCAGGTTCAGTTGATTTAGTCGATTTTATTATTACCAAACAGAATCTGACACTCAGTATAATGAGATGAAATGCTCTATTTTTTATAAATTTATATTATTATTTCCAATATAATCTAAAAAATACTGAGTAATTTGAACATATTAAAAGACATTAAGAATATGGACTTTATACATTTTTAGGTGCACTTACCACGGCCCTTCTCAAAATATGTTATGAGTCCGGATTTTCTCATTCTTTTGATGGTCAACGAAAAAATAAAGTCCAAATGAAATTCAAAAAATTGGGGCTTGGTAATAATTCTGTATCATCCTAAAATAACTCTATCTCAGAGAAAACTGACATCTTTAATTGAGTTGAGACACCCCTAGATGCTTTCTACTATTTTAACTATCGAATCCCCTCAATTCTTGATAAAAAAGCGAATTATACTTGCATGAACTGACAACTATATATGCTTTAAATTTAGGAAAAAAATTACTCCGTATACGGTATAAACTTATTCAAAATTGATGTCCCAATTTGAGTAAATTATTACTCCAAATATCTGGTCATTGTTTTTATAGTATGGTGTGAGGTACAAACAATTGAAAAACTTTAATTTGATAAAACCATCCACTCTAAATACATTGGAAATCGGTGGAAATAAGTGGAACATAATAATATATAAAGTTACTTTGGGTGCGAATTTTTTGTAGACTACGTATTTATTTTAGAATATGTGTAATTTTCATTTGCTCTAGTAATTACTCCGTATTTTCTCACCAACCTGACTGCATACTACTACTACTACGCACTTCAGATATTTAATTTTACGGAGTAGTTTTATTAATAAAGCCCAAATCCAACTTCTACTAACCCATTTAAATTTGACAGCCCAAACTAAAACTATTCACACCCTCCATGTAAAAATGATTGTGTACAGGTAGGACTAAATCCAAGCCTTGTTTAAAAAGAAATTGGGAAAAAGACAAACAGGAGACTAAACTATACAAAATTGTGGGCCATGTGGGCACTCAATTAGTCAAGTCCAAAGGAATTTCGCTGTCTCAAAAATAAGGCCTACGGAAATTGAATGTCGGCCAACCTTAGGAATGTTATGCGAAAGGGTTTAGAGATAGAGGGTGGTGGGAGATTCTAGGAGCTTCTTGGTTTCTCCGGCGTTTAACCCGCGTCCCGGAAATGGATGGTGCGGATGCAGTGAAGATCAAGACCTGTCGTAGAAGCAAGACGGCTGACGTCGATCGAGGGAAGTGTCTGGTCTAGGATTCACCGGAGTGACGCCCTCATTGATGAGAGCTGCCGTTCGAGCCCCGTCGGAGTTGCTCGTGGTCTTTGTTACGCTGTCATTCAATGGTAGAGAGTCGTGTGTATCAGGTGAGCTTTCCAATTCCACCGACTTACTGTTTGTCTTTCTTGAATGAATCTGACCGATTGAAGTTTCGTGTCGTTGCATGTAACCGTTTTATGGGTACGGTCTTCGAAGATTTGAAATTCCTGGGTTTGGATCTGCTGTCAAGCTGTTGTTCATTAGGCTCGAAATCGGATCCGGACTCACTGCTCGATGATAAGTTGTTGACAATCACATGCCCTTTTATCTCTTCTCCGGCGACAGTCGCAACCCTATTATCTTGGGATGCCTGTAAGTTGGGCTATTTTTTCACAAATTGATGTATGCCATCGATTGATTTCCTTATTTCTTGATTGAGCATATGTGACTATAGCTCTAACTGCCTAATAATCTATTGCCTAGACTAATCTCTTACCTAGTCAAATACAACAAACACTTCAGAGTTCAGACCTTCATATGACTAATATCAACATGAATAATACTCTAATAAAGATTTCCATTTGTAAAGGTTATGTAAAATTATCATGTCAAGTACTACATATCAATTTTTGACAACAACAAAGTATATAAACCATTCAATAAAATGGCTTAAAGAATTGGAATAATTGTTCTGTGATTGGAGGTATTTTGTTTTATAATCAGTCCTATTTATTCTTAGCCTTATATATTGGAGGCCCTTTCTATCTAAGATAATATCTAAATGTCATTGACAATATACACCTAATTAACTCATATTTGTAAATAGATACTTAATCAATTACTGTTAGCACTTTCCTAACATACTGGCAGTTGTAGGTTATAAATAAAACCCATGATATGTGTATCAATAAAATTGGTAAAGTTGGTAGACAATACTAACCTATAACTTGCACTTAGTTGATGTGTTTAAAATAAGTATTACACTTGTGTTTGAAGTTGAAATGGGAAAAGTTGTATCAAAACTTCAATATTTTATAGTATTGGAAGGTTTTGAAATTGTAGAGGTTTTACAGTATAATACTCCGTATGTTTTATTTTCCGGTGCTCAAAATCAGAGTTTATTAGTATTTTAGAGAGTTTTAAGTACTAAAGTAAATCAACGATTTGCTGAAACTGGCTAAACTATATTGATCTTATATTGATCTCTTACCTCACGATACTTTATATATAAAAAATACAACTGCACTAATATCAATTTTACTTCTACTAACAAACTCATTCTTATATGACCAAGAACTTGTCCACCACATATACTGTTGTGCTAATGGCTTGCTATTGATTTCCTAAAACGTAAAAGACAAACTGCAATGCGATAAAAACTTGGAGTAAAATTTACTTCATTCCATTTCCTCAACCAAGTCAAGTTTTAATCTTCTTTAAATATAAATTGTATGAGCCAATCATTTTCGTCTGTGTGTCTATATTTGTATGCGTGTATGTATCTGTTTGTGTGTTCAAGTTGATGTTGAGATTCCTATTATGACTGGAATTACAAAACATAGAATGCATGTATATAAACCAAAGCACCAAATACTTTGTTTTTCATATAGTGTTGGTGATCTCTTTATCAAAATTTTGTTTTCTATGAAGCTGAAATAAAACTCTTTCATTTAGTTAGCATAAATAAAAAAAATGAGTTTAAGATAGAAGCCTTCTGTTTGTTTTGCATGAATTTCAAATTTAAAAATAGAGATTGACTGTGAGAGACACATTGCTGAATAGGTGTGTGCTTCTTTCTGAGAGAATTATCAAGAAACTGTAGGAAGTCTAGACTTTGCTTGCACTTTTAGACTTTGATTATTTTAGCTTGCAAGCATTTTTGTGTAATATGTTTAGCCTAAAACATGTATTTATATTTGTAATTTGACCTACTGAATAACACTAAACGAACTCTATATCTTCTAGCATTAATAAAAAAAGCTCTCTTAAAATATGTTCCGTATAATTTTTAAAATTAGATTTAGATATACAACAAACCCTAGATATAATTAATATTAAATAATAAACACATGTATAAACATATTCTCATGATATTCTTGCTAATTGCAGGCAAGCAACTTAGAACTTTAGAACTTGAAAGGGAAAAGAGAAAGAGAAGAGACCGTGATTTTTCCAATGGTATTGATTTTGGCAAGACTTTGCCAAGTATTTATAGCAAAGTGAACTGAATACCAACTTGCCTACATCGACCCAAGGAACAGGAAGTGGGATTTGATCGGGCTGATTTTATTTTTCGTTTTTTGATGAGTCTTGTCTAAATTTTGTATAGTCATATTCCCAACAGGCTGATGACTTGATGAGTCTTGTCTCATACACTGTGTGCCACCCATTTCAACCAATAAAAAACAAGGCAATCCAAATCGTGACTCAACATCATACCGTATTATGTATCATCAACAGTGTGCACCTCTATTTTGAACCAATAGGAACACATGACAAATAATTCAGATGTGCCCACCTCTTTTTTAACCAACAGGATTGGTTTGTTCACAAACCCTCATGCCCTGATTGAACTAATAGCTTCAAATTATATTTTCTTTTATATTTATTTTGGCTGATTAAAACAAAAGGTATTGATGTTGACACTTATGAGCGTGGACACTGTTCCCTAAAATTCTTTTATTTTTATATTAGAATAGATATGGCAGTCTCTTAAAACTCATTCACCAATATATATTTTAGATAAAAAATAATATTTCAAAAAGTTATCTAAACTTTAATTTCTTAGTAACGTCCATTTAAACTTTTAAATCATCTTTGTTATATCTAAAAAAATTAGTGTAGACTATCGAATCTAATGATCTTTTTGTGATAATAAAGAATCTCTATATAGTGATATGAATATTTCAATAAGACTTCTACAATCATATACATATTTTCTTAGTATTTAAAATAAAAGAGATTTGTTGTTTAAAGTTCACAACTTTCAATTGTGTTGTTGGCTATTGCTCATATAACTTTACTCTCATGTTAATAACTAGAAATGGTCTTTTAGCCAATAAATATGTTCATATTAAGGACTATTACACTGAAAAGACACACATTCTGATAAAAACCATACCAGAAAAGAAGTCATCGACGTCGAGTTTTTCATCAGAGGATCTACTTTCTGATGAAAATATCTTTAATGTGGACACATTTATTAATTATTAGACCATAATTTGTAAGTGAGTAAAGTTATATGAATAAAAACAAACACAATCAAAAAAATTGGGACTAACTTATCATTTTCTCTAAACGTAAATTATAAGTTATTTAGCCCTTCGGCCCCTCATTAAATGGAAATAGAGATAAAAGTATGCTTTTAGTAATGCAAGGGTCTACTGATACTGTATAAAGGGGAATTGATGATATTATCTCTTATTTTCAATCTAATGCATGACAATTTTTTTAAAGTAAAAAATGTGGATTTAGGATATGTGAAAAGGAATTAAAAATAATGAGAAACTTAAGAGAAGGGAAACTGTTAATTGTTGGGATAATCAAAATAGATTAGCTGAAAAGCCATAAGGGTATTGTACTCATGATTTTAATAACATTTTTTTTAAAAAAAGAAACGCTTTAGAGTACTCTTTAGAGTATTCTATGAAATTCAAATTTAAAACTAACCGTTGGGCCGACTACCTGAAGACTACAAGAGCTACCATCCCTGATCGCCATTTCTCAGAGCTCATCTTAGCTTAACTTTGAACATTCTCGTGCGAAAGAAAACTAAAGAATGGCACTGAGATCTTTGGATAACGCTCTCTCAGTTATCCCAGAGAGGCCGAAGAAGCTTGCCAAAATCGTAACCCTAACCAACAACCCTAATCAGAAGCATACTGATTTCTTGGGTATAAATGATGAAAACAAGGCCCCTCTGCCACCTTCGGGAGATGCTTCGGTTGATTATCTCCCTTCTGAGAAACTTGAATCTCACGCCGATCCAGAACTTAAAATCCAAGTTAGGCTCTTTGTATTACCGAATTCTTATGAAAAACGCTTGTACAGTTACTGATGACGTTGAGTTTCAGGGTCTCGCTGGAGGATTGGAATCAAAGGACTGGCTGAAGGTTTGTGAATCGCTGAATGACGTTAGGCGGTTTGCTCTGTTCCATTCTACTTTATTGGGTCCAATCTTGTGAGCAATCTTCCCTTCTCTTCTTTTCGTTTCTTTCAAATTCTTCTTTTATGTTGTGCTTGGACAATAGGTTGTTGTTAGAAATTTAAAAATTTTGGATTTGAGTTTTGACTCAAACCACAAACTGATGGAGTTGGATTCCAATAGTCCAAGTTCTGGAACTTTAATAGAGTATTCAATTCAATTTCTTGAATCAGACACGAGTTGATTGGAATCATCAAGAAATGCAAGATTATATATTTAACTTTCTGCTAAAATAAATACAGGGAGAAGGTAATATTGATTATGGTGAAGGCAATGAAGAACCCAAGAAGTGCTCTTTGCAAGACATCCATCATGGCTTCATCAGATATCTTCAAGGCCTTTAGTGATAAGTTGTTGATTGAACCTGAAATATCTGATGCTTTTGATCAAGTGGTACATATAAGATAATTGTACCCCATGCAATTGGATTGTATTTAGTTGATAATCTTGGTTTTGATTATTTTTTTACAATATGATTTTACAGATTTTGCAGCTACTGCTGAAAGCATCTCAAGACAAGAAGTTTGTTTGTGAAGAAGCTGAGAGAGCGCTTAAGGTAATGGTGGGGTCCGTGACTCCTCTTCTTGCCCTTCAAAAGCTCCAATCCTATGCTAGGCATTCCAACCCCAAAGTCAGAGCCAAAGCTGCAATCTCAATCTCAGGCTGTTTCTCCAAGATGGTATCCATATCTTTCCTATTTTGACCTGACTTTGCTCTTAGAATGATTGATTACTAGTGGTCTGTTTATATAAAATGATAGGGACTACAGAAGACATAATTTTTTAGGGGAAATTGCGCACATACACACATTCATACACACACAGACATTCAAACTCATTGTATTTTATATATTTGCGCAACAAATTGATTTTAGATATTTGCTAAGCAAAATCAAATAAAAAAATCTTTTGCATTTTATTCCTAACCTTTTTTATTGGACCTATATACATCCTAAACGTTGCATATGTATATGGATAGGAGCTTGAAGGGATGAAGGAATTTGGGTTGGTACCCTTGATACAAATTGCAGTAGATTTGCTGAATGACAGGCTTCCTGAGGCGAGAGAAGCAGCACGAAGAATCATTGTTTGTTTGTATGAAGCACTGACAGAAAAGGAGGAGCAGAAACAGGAGGTGTGGCAAAGCTTTTGCCAGTCTAACTTGTCTGCAATTCATGCACAGTCCGTGGTGAAGCTGGTTTCTTCACAGTGAAGTGAAACCAGAAGCATCCAGTTTTTGTTCAGGGAAAGAAGTGTGTTGTTATAGCTTTAGGGGAATCAATGTGTAGTTGTTAATGTCTACTACCTCTGTAAGAGCTTTTTGAGACATAAATTTGGCTATGAAGTATTTTGTCTTTGCTGTTATATAGTATGAGTCAAAAACCCAGAATCACAGTGAATGAGACTAACAAGATCTTCAAAATATTACCCAGTTCCCTAACTCAAAATAAGAGAATTTGCTATAGTCATTTTGTTATACAATATTTTTGGACATGGAGGGAATAATATATTGTGTACCCCATACATGAATAGGATCATAAGTGAAACTTATAAGTTAAAACCTGTTTGATAACTGAAAATGGCTTTTTTCTATAGATTGATTACAATGCTATAGTAAGTACAAAGACTTGCAAAGTCTTGCAAAATGCACATGGGGTTGATGCAGTGTGACAAGTACAAAAAGACTTACAAAAGTATTGCCTATGATTAAGAGATGAAGCGATGCATTGTAAAACAGAATCTTGTCATGAACTCATGGCATGCAAAGTTGCAAACATTAAAAAAGTCGTCTTGTACTTATAGCATAGTCCCTTTTTTATTATGCTTATCAGCTGAATAAGTAGTCTTTGGCTTGCTCATTTGGTTTGAAATGAATTTTGATCAAAGGGTGATGGCAATATGGCATGTATTGTAACTGTTTATACATTATTTTGAACTTATAGCATAGTCCCTTCTTATTATGAGATTGGGCATTTGGACAGTGGCTTTTTTGTGATTGGGCTTGTGCGCTGAACCTGCGGCTTTAATTATCTCGGCCAGCAGTTTTATTTTTTTTATGTATGGATTTGTGGTGATGAGCCGGGGGCCTGTCCCGTGCCACTCCTAAACCTTCCCCCTACCTCACACCGAAAGGAGTGGGGGTGGGGGAGGTTACGGTAGGGATATGTTAGGTTACACTAGCTTTGATTTGTTGATCTTGGTTTTGATCCTTTCGGGGCAATGCCCCGTTGGCTTTGTATTCTTTTTTGGATGAGTTCAACATGTACATTTCACCCGTTCTTATTATGTGTAATAAAAAAAGTAGTAATTGACATACTTATTTAGTTCAAAGGAATTTTACAAAATGATTTTCTATTAGAAATTCAGCACATTCAATCAGGGGCGTACCTAAGGTGGGGGCATTGAGATTTGAGGGCTGCTACCCCCTCAACCCAACCCAACCCAACCCCAATATATGTGTGTGTGTACATTTTTTTATGCACAATTGCGCTTACTATATATATACACATATAAGGAATATCCGTTTAGTAATAAGTTCTTCGGTTTGCAGAATGGTTGAAACGCTGCACTTGTGGGTTTTGACGCGGGTTTGTTTCCCAGTAATGGGAAGTGGGAAATTTCATTTGTTTCATTTTGCCTGTTAAAGCTTGTTCCAACATTGCTTAATTTTGGATACTTTTTCTTGGGTCTAGTCTGAATCTTTTATACTTCGAATCATTTAGTATGTAATGTGATCTGACTAATAAGATTTTGTTGAATGTACAAATTATATGATTAATATTTCTTATTCCATCCATCCCAATGAACCTAAATTGATTTCAATTCGCAATTTTTAAGGTTTAAATAATGATAAAGTTAAACCATCTTAAGGATAGTTAAATGAGTTTTATTAATTAAAAATTACATATTTGAAAACTACATCGAAATGCTAAATATGTAAATAAAATGAAACCATGTTAATCGAGAAAAGATTTTTTTGGAAGCATCAAGAAAAGTTGATATTGAAAACGATTTTGGGACGAGGGAATTAGGAATACTATAAATGTGGTTACATGAGCAATAAAAAGTACATTTAAAATGAATATAAAGATACTTTTTGACGAAATGAAAAATAAAATGTCATACTATTAATTTTATCAAGTGTTGTTACGTATAGTTATTATTGTTATATCACTATCATATTGTAATCGATTATTTGTGAAATGTTTACGGCAGTAGTAACTTTCAGTGTAAATTTGTCCCTCTGAAAGAAAATCCTCAATACTCTAGTGCATTCAATCATTTCAATCCTCAATTGGACTAAAATTTTCTGGTAAATGTATGGTCTCTATGTATTTTATAACTATTGAAATCTGATCTAATCTGTTCTGATTTGGAACTAAAAACAGTCCAAGTAAAAACAAACTTATTCAAAAACAGTCCAAATATTTATTTATTAATCATTTCAAAAATCTTTATCTACTAAAGAAAAACATGATCAGCGAGCATTTTTATAAGATCCTCCAATTATACCCACTGAAAAGAACGCTATCTTCCCAAGGCTGCTATCTACAGACTTACAAGGAATTATGACAAGGTATATGTACAGTACCAAACTGAGATATATATGGTCCCTCAAAACTTTATCTCTATCAATACTACTCCTCAGTTTAGAATGTACTCCCTATTCTGTTGAGTTTTCAACCATTATCCAATGTCCATCTCAACTACTATGATGCTGCATTTTAACTCTGTCCAGATAACTTGAGCAAGGCCATCTCCACATCAGCAAGTGGTTGGCCTGCATAAAGCTTCAGTTGTCCCTTCCTCACAACCGTCACATTTTCCATACCCGATTTCACTCTTTGTTCCTGGAGCGTGAAAAACAATTTTACTGTTCATGTTACATCGTTCACTCGAAATTGAACAGTTGAGACTTGAGATCCAACAAGAGCAACTGGACCTCAACAGTCCAATTTGAATCGAACTGCTCAGAAGTAATGTTAAAAAACATGCTATTGAGCAAGTGTAAAGAAATGTGAGAGTTTTTGGATGATTCTCACATTGATTGTAACTACTACAATTTCAGGGTCGAAGTCTTCCAAGTGATCGTAATGAGACTGCAATATATAGCAGAAATTGGTGGCATCAATGTGATCTTCAAAGGCCACAACATGAGACACATCAGCAGAGCTGCTTTTTATGGAGAAGAATGGTTCTTGTGGTCTTTCACCACCAAGACTTCCATGCATTTGTATAATCTGCAAAAGCGATATTTTTTACCAATTATTATGATTATATATAAGGGTCTTCGGTGTTATTTAATACACAACTTTTTGGAGAATTATTCTTGTGCTACTTAATAAGGTCGGGAACCGATTATTTCAAAATCATGTATGGATTCTTTTGGGATGACAGGGCCGGACAGGCTACTTACTCAATCTCATTCAAGACCTCAGACAAGATCTCTGATGCAGTCAAGCACACTCTTAGAACATGCATATATGGCCTCGAAAGATAACTTCCCGTATTCACTAAATGACTAAATGTAGACCCAACTTAAGACTCAAATTGATACTGATCTACCTAATTTGAACCTATTTTAGTTTCCTAAGTACCGAAAATACCCTTCTTGATTAGAACAAAAATCCACAAAAACTAAATTGAGCCTACATTGCATAATCCTAGACCAAATTGAGTAAAAAAGAAAGTCAAAGACCGAATTAAGTAATAGTGTCAACTGTCAAGTGAAGAGACTAAATTGAGTATTAACTATTTGTATGCAAAAATTGTCCAAAATGTTATATTTTACAAGTGAATATGCACTATGACAAAGCAATATTTTGTTTCTAATCTTTACAACATGCAAGCATAATTCACGGTCAGAGAAATTATATATATTTCCTGAATTGCTCCAATGGCCCAAGATTAAATCCCTATATTCACAAACAACTATAGAATTAATCAGAACTGACATAATATTACAGCACAAGTTAACCAACTACACCTTCTGTGCTCTTCTATAGGTATGGTTAGTGTCACCTGCAGTCAACTAAACTTAACTTTGACCCAGTCTTTGATAAACTTCTTAAGAACTTTAATATTTCAAATCTTGAATAAGGTTTTACAGCTATACATCTAATTGGTACCATCCAATTTTGTGTTTTTCATGTGAAGACTCAAGAGTACTTGTGTCATACTCCTGGAAGGGATACCCTAACCCTTGTTGCTTCCATAATTTATGTTTTACACAGCTACTGGAAGTGTACTATTTTGGCATCTAAGCATCTTTAAGGCCCGCTTGGATCCCAGGAATATTAAATTGGGAAGAAGATAGAGAAAAATGAAAGAAAAGAATACTGGGGAAGATAAAAGATAGGCTCACACAGAATAAACTTATTGTAGATCATCATCATCAACAACAACAACATCATTACCCCAGTGCCGCAAAGCTCCCACCTACGGTGGGGTAGGGGGGGTCGGATTGATAGAACACTGGTAGTAATGAACACAGAACAATCACAAATCTAAGGAAATAGTAGTTAGAACAGATCACAACAGCTTATTGATAGAGAGAGAAAGTCGGTAAAGGGGTACAGGGGTGGGACAGTTCGAGATGCCCAATCTCCAAGCTACCAGCCAAATGACAAATAACAGCCTGCCTTATTTTGTTCTCTTCTTACTATTTATAGCTACTTGTCCACGCAGGGACCAACCCAACTAGCTATTATATAGTTAAGTAATAATACTACTTATTTCTCCTCTTGTACACCTTATTGAAGTACTGAATAGGCTGTGGCAGTCCCCCAAGCCTATCATTACTCCCCCCCTGGAATTTCACCTTGTCCCCAAGGTGAAGATCTGGAAACTGTTCTGTCAATGACTGCAGTACTTCCCATGAATCTTCAAATGGAGGTAAGTCTTTCCAGTGGACTAGGACTTCCATCTTTCCCTCCTTGTTCACCCTTGAATCCAATACTTCTTATGGTTTCACCTGTAGTTCCCAATCATCACTCAAACATGTTGGTAGAGGCTGGAATGCATTGGTAGATGGTATAGCTTTCTTCAGAAGTGAGACATGAAATATTGGATGTACTTTACTGTCTGTAGGTAATTGAAGTTTAAAAGCTACCGGACTGATCTTTTCAATAATCTCAAAAGGGCCATAATATCTGGGGCTTAGTTTCTGGTTGATTCTCCTGGCCAAACTCCTGAGCTTGTAAGGTTGTATTTTTAAATAGACCATATCTCCCACTGTCAAAAGCACCTCTCTCCTGTGCTTATTTGCCTGTTGTTTCATTTTATTTTGGGCTCTTTCCAAATTCTCCTTCAATTCTCTGAGCATCATGTTCCTTTGTGCAGTCATTTTGGAAACTTCTTCAACAGCTGTAATGCTAGCATCCCCTCTAATCACTGTAGGAGGGTCCTGACCATATAGAGCTTTGTAGGGTGTCATTTTCAGGGATGCATGATAGTTGGTATTATACCAGAATTCTGCCCAAGCTAACCAATCAGCCCAATGTTTAGGTTTCTTGCCAGTAATGCACCTCAGGTAGGTTTCCAAGCATCTATTGACCACTTCTGTCTGTCCATCTGTTTGTGGGTGATAGGCTGTACTGTATTTGAGTTTAGTTCCAGCTAATTTGAAGAGTTCAGACCAAAAGGCACTCATAAATATGCTATCCCTGTCACTCACAATAGTTTTGGGGAACCCATGCAACTTGACTACCTCTCTGATGAAAAGTTCAGCCACCTCTTTAGCATTAAATGGATGTGATAAAGCTAAGAAGTGAGCTGACTTAGTCAGTCTGTCCACCACCACCATGATAGTATCTTTTCCATGTGATTTTGGCAGCCCTCCTACAAAATCCATGGAAATGTCAGTCCAGATATTCTGAGGAATAGGCAGGGGTTGTAACAACCCGGCTGGTTTTAGAGCTTGATACTTGTTTGTTTGACATGTAGGACATTCATCCACAAACTTCTTTATGTCTTTTCTCATTCCATGCCAATAAAACAAATTAGATATTCTCTTCATTGTTCTAAAGTATCCTGAGTGACCACCAATAGCAGAGTCATGATATTCCTTCATAATTCTGATAACTCTAGGAGATTTACTAGGTAAAACTAGTCTCCCTCTGTAATATAATAACCCTTTTATATTCTGAAACTCCGGATGTTGATCTGGCTGTGATATGATCTGCTGGAGTATTGATTGACATTTGGGATCTGTAAGTAACTCTTCCTCCAAACCTTCCCATTCCTGTGTAGTGACTATAGAAATAGCATTTAGAGAAGGTCTTCTGGATAATGAATCTGCAACTCTATTCTCCACACCAGGTTTATACTTGATAATGAAATTGTAACCCAGTAATTTGGAAGTCCATCTTTGTTGCTCCTCCCCCAACAATCTTTGTTCTGTTAAGAATCTTAAGCTCTTCTGATCTGTATGGACTTCAAAAGTTCTCCCTAACAGGTAGGGTCTCCATTTTTGGACTGCCAAAACAATAGCCATCAGCTCTCTCTCATAGACTGACCTGTTCTGGTTTCTTTTAGACAATTCCTTACTGATATATGCAATAGGTCGACCTTCCTGCATCAAAACAGCCCCCAGACCTGTACCTGAAGCATCTGTTTCTACAATGAAGACCTTGTCAAAATCTGGGGTTGCCAAAACTGGTAGAGTGGTCATCCTGTTCTTTAATTCCTCAAACGCCTTTGTAGCCTCTGTCCCCCATTGGAAGTTGTCTTTCTTTAGAAGCTGTGTTAAAGGTAAAGCAATCTTGCCATAACCTTTTACAAATCGTCTGTAGTAGTCAGTAAGTCCCAGAAATCCCCTCAATCCTTTCACATCCTTAGGCTTTGGCCACTGAGTCATAGCCTCTATCTTGGTAGGGTCTGCAGCAACTCCCCTTCCAGATATTATATGGCCCAAGTAAACCAGTTCAGATTGCCCAAAAGAACATTTTTTTGAGTTTATAACTAACTGATTCTCCTTCAGTGCAAATAATACCTTCCTCAAATGTGTTTGATGCTCTTCCCTGGATTTACTATATATGAGGATGTCATCAAAGAAAACCAGGGCAAATTTTCTGAGGAAAGGCCTTAAGACTTGATTCATGAGTGCTTGGAAAGTAGAGGGTGCATTGGTTAAACCAAAGGGCATTACCAAGTACTCATAATGCCCTTCATGAGTTCTGAATGCAGTCTTTTGCCTATCTTCCTCCCTCATTCTTATCTGGTGATAACCAGATTTCAAGTCCAATTTGGAAAAAATCATAGCTCCACCTAACTCATCCAATAGTTCTTCAATGATAGGTATAGGGAATTTGTCAGGTACAGTAATCTTGTTCAAAGCCCTATAGTCACCACAGAACCTCCAACCCCATCCTTCTTCTTAGCTAATAAGATAGGGCTACTATAAGGGCTATTACTGTGTTGGATTATACCATCATTGAGCATTTCTCTTATGATTTTCTCAATTTCAGTTTTCTGATAATGAGGATACCTGTAGGGCCTTATGTTTGGGATCTGTGCTCCTGGCTGAATATTGATTGCATGGTCACATGATCTGCTGGGAGGTAGTGTTTTCAAAGGTGTGCAAACTTCTGGAAATTCTGCCAAAATCTGTTTCCAAGTTTCATCCATCTATTTCATCCTTTTTTTTAAATCCCACATACTTGCCTTCACACAGAATCAAATACCCATCCCCTGCATCATTGAGAATCTGAGTCATAGTGTTCAAAGATATCTCCAGAGAGTTTAACTGTGGATCCCCTTGTATTATTTGATTCTTCCCTTGCTCCTGCCATCTGATCACCTGTTTTTTAAAATTTACTTCCACATCTCCTAAGCTTGTCAACCATTCCATCCCAAGCACCATATCAGTACCCCCAAGATCCAGGATATAAAAATCCTGTTCAATTTCTGCTTCTTGTAAATCTATAGTTAATGATTCACACCTCCCATTATTAATCAGTTTGTCACCATTGCCAATCTGTACCTTGTACCCTGTAATAGTGGTGTAAGGTATCCTGAGTTTATTCACCATCTCTTGAGATATAAAGTTGTGGGTAGCTCCACTGTCAATGAGTATGTCCACTTCTTTTTCTCCCATTTCCCATTTCAAGCAACCCTTCACCTTGAAAGCTCTCATGGAAGGAATCCCTTCCTTACTCATGAGTGATAATTGCATGGATTTGGATTCCATGCTAGTCTCCTCTTCTACAGGAATTTCCCTTTCTTCCCCATCAGAATTTTCTTCTTCTGTGGAATCTTCTACCATAATCAACTTATAGTTTTTCAGTTTACAAGTATGATCCCTGTTCCATTTCTCTCCGCATTTAAAACAAAGTCCCTTCCTACTTCTCTCCTGATATTCTTCTTGTGACAACTGAGGTCCCACTTTTCTGATGCCAGAGGGATGTATTTCAGTAATCTTCCTTCCTGCTTTATCAAACCAAGCATTGTTATTCTTGTCTTCTGCCCCATTTTTTCTCTGATTTGGCCAGGAATTTCCAAATCTGCTCTTGAATCCTTCACCCCAAGTCTGATTTTTCATAGGCAATGGTCCTCTCTCCTTCCCAGACAATTTATCCTCCTCTTTTCTCTTCAAATATTTGGCCTCATTCTTCTGCTCAATTATAATGGCCTTATCCATAACTTCAGTCAACGATCTGGACGCAAACAGTTTCAGCTCAGATTTGATCTCCTGCTTGAGGCCAGATATGAAAATCCCTCTCAATAATTCTGTATCCATATTCTGTTGTAGTGCTATCACCATTTCAAATTCTGCTCTGTATTCCTCCACAGTTCCCGTTTGTTTCACACCGAGTATAGGCCCGTACGGATTTTGAAGTAATTCCGGTTGAAATCTACGGATAACAGATTTCTTCAGCACCTCCAAACTTGTTTCTTCCGTCTGATTTTCCCACAGGTGAAACCAATTCAAAGCTCTGTCCTCCATGGCAACCATAGAGGCTTCTACCTTCTCCTCTTCCATAATCTGATTCAATCGAAAATATCTCTCCATTCGTATTATCCAGTTGTAAGCTCCTTCTCCATTAAACAATGGTAAATCTATTTTTCTTCCAGTTCATACTAGTAATCTCACATGCTCCTCAGTACGAAGATGATTATGGATATTAGAATATACTGAATTACCTCTAGACGTCGCAGGGCTGTGCGAAGTCTGACGCCGATGATGATGGCGAGATCGCGACCTCCTACTCGCGCGGAATTCCTCGCTCATAGCATCCATTCTTCCCGTCATGTTATCCATCATTGTTCTCATGTGTAACAGCGTTTCCTCAGTCGCTATTCTGCTACGTTCCATCTCCTCCCTTAGATTTTCCATTTTGCTTCTCGTTCGAACCATCCACAGTTCCGATCGAGAGAAAAACTTTCTGGTGATGCTTCTACGAATAATCCGATCACCAGAACAACTGCTCTGATACCAATGATAGAACACTGGTAGTAATGAACACAGAACAATCACAAATCTAAGGAAATAGTAGTTAGAACAGATCACAACAGCTTATTGATAGAGAGAGAAAGTCGGTAAAGGGGTACAGGGGTGGGACAGTTCGAGATGCCCAATCTCCAAGCTACCAGCCAAATGACAAATAACAGCCTGCCTTATTTTGTTCTCTTCTTACTATTTATAGCTACTTATCCACGCAGGGACCAACCCAACTAGCTATTATATAGTTAAGTAATAATACTACTTATTTCTCCTCTTGTACACCTTATTGAAGTACTGAATAGGCTGTGGCAGTCCCCCAAGCCTATCACGGATGTACGCAACCTTACCCCTGTACTAAAGCACATAGAGACTGCTTCCGGATGACCCATGGTGATAATCACGTCCAAAATTGCATGGACTCATTGATACTTCATAACAAAGAAGCAAACCATTTAGGGAGCCATTTTGCTTTATTATACCATATTCCTAAGCCAAAAAATAGTGAATCTTTGGCTCCATTGCAAATGATGGAAAATATAAACTTATTTTCCATCATATAGTATTGCCTCTTTGAGATTAGGTCATATTTACTAATTCAACCTTGTATTTTCAAAAGTAAATTAATTGCCTCTTCAGCTTTAGTTATTTTCACAACTTTCCTCTTCCCCTAAAATTTATTTCACCAAGATTTCATAGAAATAATCTAGGATATCATCTCTTAAAGGTCAAAACACTACACATTCATCATTATAAGCCATGACTCGATTCATTTAATCGTGCTTTTCTCAAAGACTTTCCTTGCGCAATTAAAAACAACACAGGAAGAGTTGACAGTTATCATCATTCATCACCATTCATCATTACCCCAGTGCCGCAAAGGTTTCCACCTATGGTGGGGTAAGGGGGTCGGATGTACGTAGTCTTACCCCTGTACTAAAACACAAAGAAAGTGTTTCCGAATGACCCATAGTGAAAACCGCGTCGAAAATTGCATGCACAGACAATTATATGAAAAGAAATGAGAAGTATTAACATGGTGGTGAAGTTGCTAGAATAACCAAAGCTCAAAGTTTAACTTTTTCATTTTAAACACACAAAGTTGAACTAGTAATTATGACCTAACCTAGATAATAAATGATAGGTTCAAAGTCATTGTATATTACGTAGAACTACTTTTATTATATAGAAAAATTGATTGTAATAATCCCAACTATTGGTGGTCCGCTCATAATAATCCCAACTATCGATTATTTCGAAATAATCCCAACTTTAGGGACATTCCGCCAATAATGGTCCAACGTGACCAACTATAAATAAATCCCTAAAGTTTCTAAAGAGATATAGCAAGTAATTCCTATAAATAATCCTAAATTTTAATTTTTACACTTAATTTCTATTAAAAATTCACTTGTTAGAGCAGGTAATATGCGGTCATGGACCATTATTGGCGGACGGTCCATATAGTTGGGATTATACAAAAATAATCAATAGTTGAGATTATTGTTAGCGGACCGGTAATAGTTGGGATTATTATTTTCAATTTTTCCTATTACATAAAGACTACAAAAACTAGATATGTAAGAACTAAAAGTTTAATCATTTACTATTTTACTCCCACTGGCCCACAATTAAGATTTCATTTTCAACTTTGAGATGTCACAACATTAAGATCTCACTTCTCTTTTGGTAACATTTGAGTGGTCAAAATGTAAAATACTCTTTTACTCCTATGAAAAGTACATCACTAATTATTAATTTTCTATTATACTTTTAAGGAAAGGCATAATTGGAAAGTCAATAAAAAAGTTACTTTGCCTAAGAAACCGTGAACTCAAACTAGGAACTTAATTGGGGAACAAATGGAGTATAATTTTCTTATTCATTTTCCTATTAAAATTGAACATAAGAAATTCTCAGTATTTAATTCCGTTCCTTGCAATTTTCGGGATCCAAACAACCATAAAACAACCATGAACCACAAAACACCAGACAGCTGCCATTGAACTCCGTAAGACAAAAACAATAGAAGTAAAAAAGATTTTGCAGTAAAGAAGCCAAAAAAAAATTAGCAAGCAGTTAGTGGATCGTATTACATACAAGGATGTAAGGGAGACTCAACCACCAGAAGTCAGTTTCCTTTTCAGATTTCATACCCCCTGATTTTTTGGTTGGCTGTTTTTCTGTCACTTCCCGCCTCTTTGAACTAAAACTTGTTTTTGACCTTTCCATTTTGTTGGATATCACTTTGGTCTCTGGATTACTTCCATCCTGAACAACACCTATTAGGAAAAGAAAAAAGACATAAGCGCATAAAATCATTCAGCTTAAGTGTAAAACAATTCTTGATTTGTAAAAATGTGGTTAAGAAATTGTTTGCTAAGGTATAATTGGAACTTGGAAAATGGCATGAAAGGAAAATGGGTACAAAGGAAAACATTTTTTATGTTTGGGTTTATGTTACAAAATACAAGGAAATTCAAATTTGGTTGAAGATTTAATATTTATAAAATACAAGTATGTAAGTAAATTAAGTTTACAAAAATTTGAAATTGGTTTGAAGCAACTTTTACCCCACCCACCCCCCACCCCACCCCACCCCACCCCCCCACATTTTGTTTCCTTCCAATTTTCCTCTTTATTTACTCTCCCAAGTACTCACTAAGTTCAAAACGGACTCTAAGAATATTATCAGTTCCCAATGTCTGCAAAATAAGGAGCAATACGATATAACTAGCCAAATAAGAGTATTACCAGTTCCATGATTAGAATTTGCAATGTCTTGCCTTTCTTCCAATGACACCTTTCCTACATCAATAAAAGCATCACCTTGTTCTTGCTCTTCCCCATCAGATTTAGATGAACCCATAAAACCTTTAGGTTTATAACCTGGTTTACTAGAACTATCTCTAAACCTATGCTTCTTCTTAAACAGCATTGCACTATTTGTATCTTTTTTTTCACTATTTCTTCTCGGGTAATCATCTCTTTCAAAAGGCCTATGCAGTGAAAGTAATCTATTCTCCACCTCCTTCCCAATTGCATTACTAAAAAAGCTGTCACTAACTCCTTCTTCATCATCACTTAAACTACTCCTCTTTGCAGCCTCAATCTTTTCCTTTGCTCTAACCCTCCTGGCCATCACCCGAATTTCCTCAATCTTCCTCTCTACCCCGCCAATATCATCATTTGCAACCAAGAAAAGATTCAACTTTGATTCATTGTTATTATTAGTGTTATCATTCGTGCCCATTTCCAAGGTTTCATCTTTTTCACCGTTTTCACCCTCTTTAGCTGACCCAACTATCAAAACATAAATATTGCGAGCAACAACGGCCGCAGCTGACCATAGCAGAATATTCAAGAAGGGGATTTCACTGTGGTTTAGTACCAGGGGTTTAGGAATTTCGGATGCTAGACCTTCTCGGATAGTTTCAGAAACGTCAGCGTCTTGCATTTCCGGCACGGTAGAATATTTACTGGAAGTATCATCGGAGCGCAATGTGTGAATTTCCTCCGGTGGAGATTCAATGGGTATTACTGGGTTTGTGGGGGGCAATTCTATGGGAAGTGGAGGATTTGTGTAGGGTTTTGTTAGGGTTTTGAGAATCTTGGGGCGCAGATTATTCTTTCTCCTTGTCAGTTTTCTATTGTCTATGGATGAGAGTGAAGAACTTGGTGAAAGATGCTTTGCAGCAAAGGGAGTGAGAGGGAGAAGAGAAGCAGAGGTGCGCAGGGCACCGGCCATAACTTCAGGGAGCAGCACATCATAGGAGTTAAGTGAAGGACTAAATAAAGTTAGGGGAAAGGTGCAAATAAGTAGGTGAAATTTGAGACGGTTACTTGTGTAATTTGACTAACATAAAAAGTGCACCAATCCCTTTTATAGTCCTTATTACACTAGTTTACTCGTACCATATTTCAGGAGTTAATGAAAAAGATGCTCAAAAAATTTTATCAAAAAAATCAATCAAAAACATCCTCAAATGGCGACGGCCGGACAAAGCTTCCTATAAAAGGGGTGATTTGCACTTTTTCGGTTTGTTCAATGGCTTATTTGCCCCTTTTCCCATAAGCTTATAAAAGTTCATATAACTAGGGGTGAGCGCGGTCCGGATCGGTCCGGTAAATTGGTAAAACTCGCAATGTATCCGTGAGGTTTTTAACGGTTCGGTACGGTACGGTTCCAACGATAGAACCGTTTGATACCATGTCATTTCGGAACGGTACAAAACGGTACGGTACAATGCCAAACTCGTGCTAAAAAATTTGAACAAATCTTGCAATTAGTAGATATCATCACACCAACCAACTCACGTGAAATGTTGATATAAATACAAGAAATTGCATACGTAGTACTAAAATTCACAAATACACAAATAGTGCAACACACCTAAGAAAAAGTATAGCAAAACGATGACACGCGAGATAAATATCATCTTTAATTTACTAAATTCATGTGAAAATATAAAAACGAATATTATCAAATTATTGAATATAATAGAAATCTTCAATGTTCTTCTTCGTTTTAAGTTAAATATTACTCCGTAGTTCTCATTTAATTTATAGTTGAACCTTGAAAGCTAATATTTAAACCATATTAATTAAGTTGTAAAAATTGCACAAACATGATACAACAAAAAGTCATGTACACTACATTACTAGAAATGAATAGTCATTAATGATTTCTAAAATTTTAATATTCTTTCAATACATACCAAAATATAACATAAGTTATCTAAAAAGAAAAAATAACAATATATATATATTAATATATATAAACACACTGATGGATAGTGTACCCGGGGGGGTAGCTTATCCGAGCGGTTATTACGGGGAGTAATAAGAGAGAAGTCAGAGCAAGTAAATATAGAGAGAGAAAGTATATTATAAAGTGTGGAGCGTTTTCAGCGTGGTTACAAATGGGGAAATGGGGTGCTATTTATAGCAGCAATAAATGCCGAACAGGGACACGTGTCAAGCGCCCATTGGCCGAGAGGTCACCTCAACAGGTTGGCGCTGGCAGCCGCATGTGGCCGCATTTAATGCGGCTGTTGGATGGGACGTTTGTACAGGGTACGGCGATCTGTACGCATGTGGTGCGGATATCATGTCGGGAGAGGTGCCCTCGGCTGCAGAGGACTAGCCGAGGGCTCCGAGTGCCGGGGACCCCCTGGGTGCCGAGGGCTCCAGGTGCCGAGGGCTACTCTTTTCTGCCGTTTTTCTCCCAGTTTCTTAGTTTGCTTGTAAAACCCGTTTTGTGAGAGTTCCGAGCCTTCGGCCAGGGGCCGAAGGCTCCCTAGTGTGCGTTGTGGGCTGCTAAGTGCTTGGGGGCACCGTAATTTGGGCCTGTTGTGCTTCCTGGGCCGGTTGGGCCTTTATTGGTGTAGTAAGAGTCTGTGGGCCGGGGGTTCCCGGGTCATATACTCCATCAGGAGTCCCTCACTCCTTTTGCCGAAAGGTACTTGAGGAAAAAGGAGTAATTTGTGCTTGCCCTTTGATGTTGTCCCGTTGTAATCTCTGAAGCTGGTGAGGAGTTGTTGCTTTCATGTCCCTGCCGAAGGCAGTCCCTCAGTTACCCACATGTCGGGACTTGAGGGAATGCTTTGCCGTTTGTTGGAATTTTTCACCATTTTGTAATTTAAATCTTTTCCCGAGGGGGTCCTCCAGTCCCCCACTCCTTGAGGCACTTGTAAAGTGGTGAAAAGGAGTGAAGTAGTTGCGTTGCTGTTGCGGGCCGAAGGCTGACGCTTTTCGTTTCATTTTGGGGGGATGCCTCGTTAAAAACCTCATTAGGAAAAACCCTGTGGGAAAAAATCCTAATGAGGGAAAAAGAGTGCACCGAATTCCCCCAATGATGAATCGAAAACGTGAAACCTTGGCTCAAAACGGAGAATAATGGTAATGTCGAAGGCTCTCCTTGTTCTGAGGGCTCATGTGTTGAGTAGCCGGAGGCTTGTTGTTGATGTCCTGGGAGGTGCCGAAGGGGAGCCCCTCAATCTGGGGATCGAGGGCGTGATGGATGAGGGCAGTAGTTGAGTTGTCACCGGGGTGTCCCCTGCTTGCTGATTAGTTGGTGATGAGGATATCCGAGGGCTCCCATTACCTGTGTGCCGTAGGCTATCCGTCAATGAGGCATACTCCCCGGGGGCTACCCGGCCCTTACAGTGCTGAGGGGGAATCCCCGAGGGGTGGCCTGATATGAAGCCTTGGGCTTCTGAAGGAGTGATCCCGAAGGCGACTGTTATCTACTGTGTGGGGCACAACCTGGGGGCGTCTCTGGGTAAGTGTACCCGGAGGTTCTTCTTGATGAAGTGGAGTGAAGTAAGAAAATCCGGGGGCTCCCAGAATATAGCCGTTGGAAATATAGTCGTTGGAATATGTAACGTCAGGATATAGCCGTTGGGGGGGTACACGTGGCGCGTGATGGTTGGCTGTCCGTGGGCGGCGTCACCGGTTGGGCGAAGACACGGCGTGTAATGATGACAGTCCATCCGGAGGCCCGGTTTCCAGGCCCAAGCCCGGATTCCAGCGCCTATAAATACCCATGGTCGGGCTTCCTTCCCCTTGTGCGAAATCCTTATAACGAAGCTCTGCCAAATTTTCTAGAGAGAGAAACAGCAGCCCTCGATCAAACTCTTATTCCCAGGTCAGTTCTCCACTCGCACTTCACCTCTCTAGTTAGCTGTCTAGTGCCCTTAGGCTAGGAGATAGAGTTTTTAGAAAACACTAGCGTCTACGAGCCTTCGAACCAGAGCCAGAATGTCGTCCCAGAGTGATTCTCAAGACATCTCGGGGGCACCCTCGATGGAGGATGAAGTCCTCTCGGATGTGGAGTCCTCAAACGAACAGTCCTCGGCCCAGGAGGATGTTGCGATGGCGGTAGAAGTGCAGAAGGAGCTGTTGGCTGAAGTTGAAGCCGAGGGCTTCGAGCAGGAGGTGGAAGACGAAGAGCTGGCCCTCGCCATGCAGGTTGCAGAGGAGGAGGAAGCAAAGGAGAGGACGAGGGTGACCGTGGCTGTGCTCCCCCTCGGGGTGCCGGTGAGGCCAGCACCTCTCGGCCGCTGAACGCGGTTCCCATCCGGGTGGCCCCCGGGAAGAAGGCCAAGGTAGCTGCTCCCAAGAAGAAGGGCAGCGTTGCAGATCAAGGGAAGCCCCTCGATATGCCCGAGGGGTACTCCTACCTGAACACCGCCGCCTTGGAAATAAGGTCGAAGGTTGATGCGGCGGACATCTACGTCACTCAGCTTCACGTGGGCCCCTCGGCCATCGTAGTGACACCGGGTCCAGATGACGTCCTCTCCCGGGCTCCCGAGGACTGTATTGCGGTGCACGTTCTCTCGGTGTCCATGGGGCTCCGCTTCCCCCTGCACCCTTTCCTCCGGGAGTACCTCCGGTTCGTGGGTCTGGTCCCCTGCCAGCTGACCCCGAACAGCCATTCCTACATTACTGGCTTCCTCCAGCTCTGCAAGTCCTGGGGGGTGACGCCTAGCCTGGACCTCTTCTTCCAGAGCTTCAATCTGTGCCGGGGGGGCATGCGAAAGCCGAGGGCTTCGCAAACTTGCAGCAGGTGGCAATGTTCAAGCTTTTCACTGAGGCGCCCTCCTCGAACAAAGGGTGGAAGGACCGGTGGTGCTACGTGAAGCTGACCGAGAGCCTCTTCCCGAGGGAGTTGCGTGACCGCTTCAGGAGGCACGAGAAGAGGAGGAGCGCCGCCCTCGAGAAAGACGGCAGGATTCTGGCCATGATCCCGGAGGGCCGGGACAAGAATATTACCATTAAGGAGTGCACCAAAGAGGGAGATCTCTACACCCTCGGGTTCCGGCGGTATCGCTTCCTGGGGGAAACAGATGAGAAGTTCCCGGTGTTTGAGGGAGCCTCCGGAGGTAGTGGCTGAGGGCACTCTCACCTTCATATCTTAGCACATAGTTCATTCGCTTGTTTTTTTATTTCTTGTGCCTTCTGTTAGTAACCCCTCGATTTTAACCCCATACTATTTTTGCAGGTATCCCAGTGAATATGATGAACGTCAAAGGCCTTGCCCGATTTAAGAACAAGCCGGCCAAGGATTCGAAGGGGTCGGACGCGGGCGGCCAAAAGCCCGTCGGTGCGTTTCTCAAGAAGACCGAGGGCGATGCTGCTGCCGCGAAGAGGAAAACAACGACAAAGGAATCCCCCGGCTAGCAAGAAATCGAAGAAGGGGGACACCACGAAGAAGGACCCCCCGGTGGTGATTGTGGATGATTGCCCCGCCTCCGGGGTGCATGAGGAGATGCCGGTGGCGAAGGTGCCGAGGGGTGTCCGGGAGCCATCTCTTGAGGTCCTTACGCTCTCCCTCCCGGCTGGTACGGCCGTGTTGAATGGCACAGCTGACCCGAGGGCGCTTCTGAGAGGTATAACCCTCAATATTGACAGGGCAGCCCTCGGGGCCGATGATGACCAAGCCCTCGAGGACAGGATCCTCCGGTCTTCCCTCACGGTAAGTCTATGACAGTTATCTTTCTCTTCTTTACTTCGAACTAGGAAATCATGTTCGGCCCTGCTAACTCCTTTATTTTTGCAGACCTGCATTGCCCTCGGAGAGCAGGCCCGACGGCTGGAGGAATGGCGTCTCCACAAAGCTGGGCAAGACGCAAAGATGAAGGAGCTCATTCTCAAGGACTCCAAGGCCACGAAGCTGATGGCCCAACTTGAAGAGGACCTCCAGCTTGCGAGAGCGGAGGCCGGAAGGCTTAGGGAGGAGAAAGCCAAAGCTGAGGAGGCTGCTGCGGAGGCCGCAAAGAAAGCCGCCGAGGAGGCCGAGGCCGTCAGAGCGAAGGCTGTCGTCACAGCCC